TGTGCACAGGTTGGGTTCAGCTGGCCTGCCCTGATCAAGTCTGGTTGGGTCTGGCTGGCTGTTAGGGAGAGGCTGTGGACAGTTGGCCAGCCACCCCCGCCCCCTGTTCGAACTCCCGGTTGAACTCCCAGTTAAGGGGACAATTTGAATATTAGCCTTTTATTATATAGGACTAGAGGCCGGATGAACGAAATTCGTGCATGGAAGGGGGTCCCTCAGCCCGGCCTGCACCCTTTTGCAATCTGAGACCCCTCGGGTATGTCCGACTGCCTGGATGAGGCCTAAACCAGCAGTCAGACATCGCTCTCTCAATCCGGGTCCACTGGCTCCTAACCACTTGCCTGCCTGCCTGCCTGATTGCCCACTGCATCTGCCTGCCTGCCTGGTCGCTCCTATCCCCTTTTCCTTCCTGATCACCCCTAACCACTCGCCTGCCTGCCTGATCGCCCCTAACTGCCTAGGAAGGACAGGTGGCTGATTCTGGAAGGTGTGTACGTCCACAAGGAGGATTTGGGGATCCCAGAGGCCAAGGGGGATGACAATGGAGGCTTGGTCCCCAGGGAACCTGGAGGGTTAGGCAGAGGTCACCAGCACAGACTCCACAAGTCAACTCCAAGCCCCAGGACTTCGTGGTTGACACCCCTGTTGCTGTGGTTCTCCAGCTGTAGAGACCTTGTCCCATCACTGCTGCCTTCAGGCCCTGTGAGTGCTGGCAGGTTGCTGTGAAGAAGTCCTGGTCCCTTGGCTGGCCAGCTGGGCCACCCCGTGTAGCTGGACTTGGGTTTCTCTAGGGACCTATATTTTCAGAGGACCAGTCAGACTGGCCATGAGGATTCTGGGGTCTCCCTATCTTGAGTCAGGGTCAGGGCTTGGGTGGGGACATCTGCTAGTCTCCCTTCTCCCACCTGAGGAGAGCCTGAGGATAGAGCCACCTTCCCGACCCAGGATGCTGCACACTCGAGAATGCTGGGGTCACACTCGGGCTCTAGGTCAGACCAGACTTCCAGTGTCGAAAATGAGATGACCGTCTGGGGACAGCTCT